GTGGCTAATTTACCATTTCAACTTTGTTGATATATCCAAATTTTTCTGACTGCCACTGGTTACCCTCTGTAACTAGAGCTTATCATAATTATTTTTAAAATGGTTTACTAACTTGTAAGGCAAGCATGATTGCCACCAGTTTCTTAGCATAAGACAGTGGTAATCTACAGCGCTGATGAAGAATGACCTCAAGTTCCTGGCTAGGAAGCTCATCAAAATGAAGTTCTACGAAGCGATTTCGAAAGGCTCGTGATAACACCTGTAAAATACAACAAATGAACTTTTACTGGTAAAAGAAGCACACCCAACACAGAGAAAATGCAGAATCCTCTTTCCAGATTAAGGATACCTCAATAACATTGCACAACATCATCAACTAGCTCTTCAGAATTTGTACTTCACCAACAATCTTGAATAAAACACAGAGACATATCTTCCATCCATCAAAGGAACATTATCCCTTGCACAGTTTTGTAAAAACTAATTGTTCCTCTCTCATACAATAAGTGAAAGAGAACAGGCTCTGATGGTCTTTTCAATGGACTCCGTTAACAGAGTTTCAGTCATTCACCCCCACCCAGGAGCATAAATGTGTCCCACTGAATTATCAACCTAAAGAAACCCACACGAAAAAGTTCTGTGTAACCTGTAATAGACAAGCCAGACCTGAGGGGAAGGGGGAGGAGAGAATACTCATGGCTCCTTCAGGTTATTGAAATGGGAATAAATTCCAGAGGTATCTACCACTTGCCTCAAATGCAATGAATGTTGCCTGGTTTGCAATGTGGTGTATGTTTTGTATTTAGCAGCACCAAACAGCATTGTTAGACTAAGTGTTTTTGACAGGTAGCTAAAAGTTTACTTCCAGAAGTTTTGTTCAGGATTGCATCTTCATCCCTAAAACAAACATACTTACCACATAAATGATGAATATATGAAGTTCATATAATTTCATATATATTCATATGCTTACCACATATATATCAGCTCCACTTAAATATCTTACAATGTAAACTGAAATCTTCAAATTCAGAGACATTTACAAAATGCAATTTTCTCTTTATGGCATATGTAAGAATTTAGCACTACTTTTAGGTATAAATAACATTAAAGTTGTTCTGTTAACCTTTCTCCCACCATAATGTCCAGGAGGATTTTGTGTAGCAAAGAGCATAAACATTGGATGTGCTACAACTGTTTCTTGTGTTTCTGGAATAAACAGCTCTCTGTTGTCATCTAACAGCTACAAAATACCAAAAAAAAAAACCAATAAGTACCAAGGGAAGGAACTTCAGCAAAAAGTTTTGAAAGTTAACAGAAACAAAAAGTATGCCACTAGATAAAGCAAGAATATTCTAATACAATTTTTTTCTGTTTAGCATAACTTATTGCATGAGTGTTTTATGCATGCAATAAAACATTAAGTATCTACCCTGTTGAGGGCCTCTAGGACATCTGAAGGGGCCAGATTAAGTTCATCTAGAATGATCCAGTGGCCCTTTCTCATGGCATCAACTAAAACACCTGCAAAAATTAAGAGGCCTTTTAGCACTTTGTTGTTCACTTGTGCCCATTATTTTCTGATTAGTCTGCTGCCCTCAATTTTCAGTTCTCATGCCCATCTACTCTAATGTTTTTTTTTCCATGAGTGGGGGAACAATCGTTCAACATTTGCAGAAAAATGCTCCACCAACTGAACTACAGAAAACTTGTTAGTGAAGACAAGCCACATACTACATGGTAAGTCTCTACATGCCTGTCCTTCATACTTCTGCAAATGACAATCTCATACCTCCCGTTTGGAGATGATTAAGGCAGTTTCCTCTTTGCATATGTATTGGCCAAGGAGCGAGACAGGGTTATTGTTTTTGTTCACTTTTACGTCTATGAGGGCTATCACTGAGCAACTAAAACATTCCAAGACATAAAATCAGATCTCACCTTCTTTAAAGATCAGTTTACCATTCTCATCAGAAGTGTAACAGCCAAGGTATTCTTGAATATCAGTGTGTTCATGATTATTTATTCTAACACAACGGTTTCCAGATGCCTTAGCCAGCCATTGAATCAAACTGGTTTTACCCACTGAGGTTTCACCCTGAATTAGAACAGGAAGCTTCCTGGAAACAAAATTGTACCAAATGTCAAAATCCTGATACTTACCCTGACCCAATCCCAAACCCCAATCTTGATGGTGATATTTGCCACCACTAATAGCAACACTCTCACTGTTATCACTGCCACTAACTTTCATGACTGCTATTAATGCTACTGCTGTTGATATTGTTACTGTCAAACCACATACATGGGCCACTTAAACTCTCAGGGTTTTCATTACAAAATATAACAACAGAAAAGTATAATTTAACAGTATTCTCTTTGTCTGAATAAAAATATACATGTGGCCAATGCCACTGAATTGTAGTGAGAACCTTCTGCAAAGCAGCTAGAGAATTTGCTAACCCCTCCTATGTAATGGACACACTAAACTCCAGATCAACACCAAGGTAACATTGCTGTATGAATTTTACTGGTAATTCAAGTGACCTATTTTAAAGACAAAGACCTTGGTCAATTCTGAGCCACAGGTTTGGAATAACAACCTTCCTTCCTTGTCATTGGAAACAGAGGCTACAGTACAAAACAATATGTTAAAGTAATTCAAAGTAATTTTTAATCCATCCATTCTAAATTGACTTGTCCCTCCACTATCAATAAAAAATAATTTACAGGTACTGTAATTTTACCTAGAACACTCCAGATAGAGAATGGACCAAATACCTGGCAGATACAACCCTGACGAGATCCTTCAAGTTGGCTTTCACTGAAGCTGTTAAAACATACTCAGTTGATACCACAGGTTCTTTGCTCCCCACTGCAATCCAAAATCCTTCAAAATTACTGTATTGTCCAGAGTCCTGTGGCTTAGGTAAGGGCTGCTTCAACATACTGCCAGCATTTACATGGCCCAGGATGTGCTGTTTGATGAGGGACTGGACAACAGGGTGTGAAGAACGATCCAGCTGTGTCAAGAAACTCAGACAAAATCCCTGCACAGGGAAAGCAATTTTAAAAAGTGAAGAGTTAACAATAATAACAATAATAACATATTTAACTAGGGCAAACCCCTCAGCTGAAGCTGTTTTAAATGGGTGTCCTGGGCAACTAAAAAAATAGCAATTAAAACAAAAATAACCATTAAAAGATGAACCATCAGAAAAATGTAAAAACAATGTACAAACA